GGCAAAGACTAACCAGTAGGCTATCACGCCAGGTCCCCAAAGACAGACTTCTTTTTTTTTTTAATTAGAAAGGCAGATATATATAAAGAGAAGGAGGGACAGAGAGAAGTATCTTTCATCTGCTAGTTCACTCCCCAAGTGGCCACAATGGCTGGAGCTGAGCTAATCCAAAGCTAATTGCCAGGATCTTCCTCTGAGTCCTATTTAGGTTAGAGTCCCAAAGCCTTAGGTCTTCCTCTACTGCTTTCACAGGCCATGAGCAGTGAGCTAGAAGGGAAGTGGAGCAGTTAAAACACAAGCCAGCAAGGTGAAGACTAGCCACTAGGCTGCTGTGCTGGACCCACAAAGACAGAATTTTTTTTAAATGACTTGTTTATGAGAAAGGTGCAGTGACATAGGAGGTGGGAATGGGATGGAGAGAGATCATCCATTGGCTTAACAGTTAGCGATGGATCAGGCCAAAGCCAGAACCCTGGAACTCTAACAAGGTCTCTCACATCAGTGGCAGGGTCACACATACTGTGACTGTCATCTGATGTCTTTGCAGGTGCATTAGCAAGAAGCTAGATGGGAAGTAGAGTAGCTACTTGAACCAGATACACAAATATAGGACTTGGGTGCCCAAATCTGGCTTTAACCCACTACACCGCAATGCCAGCCCGCAAAGGTAGACTGTGGTGTACCTTCTATCAATGGTGAGAGTGTTGTTGCTTTCTGGAGGGAAGTGGCTATAGAATGGGCCTCAGGTAGCACCTAGAGAGCCTGTAGGTTTTCTGGTGGTGAACATGTCATGGAGTCGGGACAGTTCTCCTCATGAATGAAGGGGCAGGGAGATCTGGGCCAGCTGCTGAGCTTGTCTGAACCTCCAACAGAGGAACCTGAATCCTGAAATGACAGGGCCTGATCTCTGCTCTCCTGACCCCATCCCCTCCCCATCCCTTCAGAACTGTAGCCCTCCTCGTCTTGCACATGTGACTGCAAGGAGCACCGGGGCTGGGCGCTTTCAGGGCCTGCTTGCCTTGTAGACTGCAGCAGGGAGCACACAGAAGAGCACTGCTCGGTGACACTGCAGTGTGGAATGTTCTGGCTCATCACACAGTATGGTTAACAAAGCAGTATTCAACATGAATAGGAATATTTTTAAAAGATTTATTTATTTTCATTTGATGGGCAGAGTTACAGAGAGAGGAAAAGGCAGAGAGAGAGAGAAAATGAATCTTCCTTATGCTGGTTTACTCCTAAATGGTTACCAACAGCCAGAGCCTGATTGGTCCAAAACCAGAAACCCAGAGCTTCTTCTGGGTCTCCCACATGGGTGCAGGAATCTAGGCATTTGGACCATTCTTTACTGCTTTCTCAGGTACTTTAACAGGGAGCTGGATCAAAAGCAGAGCAGCTGGGACTCAAACCAGCACCCATACAGGACTCCCACACTGCAGGCTGAGCCTTAACCTACTATGCAACAGAACCAGCCCTGAATAATACTATTTTGAGCACACTTCCACTAACATCATGGACTCGTTAAAGGAGATTCAAATTTAACTGATGGTTTTCTAATTTATCTTGGAGTCCTGCAATTCCACTTGCACATAATGCTAGGAGACCTGTGTCTCCTCCTTAGGACAGAGGAATAACAAGCCTCAGTGAGGTTAGAGATAGTTTCACTCCTTTGGGCTTGCCAGGAAGTAGAGACAGAGGAGCTAGTTGAATGATGTGTTAGGGAAACAGGTCCCCCACCCCCACCCCTGCTCTGATAAGCATCCTGGCTATTGCATGAAGTATGCCAAAAAAGGGGTGTCAGGTCTGAAACTGGCTCCACAGGAGAGTAAACCATCAGAATTGTACCTGGCGATACATGCTCAGAACAGGTGGGCAGCTTCATTCCTCAGGTTGGTGTTGAGTGCTGCGCTGAGTAGCCACTGCCTTTCAGAGGGCAGGCTACCTCTTCCATCCCAGTTGGGACATTGGATCCTAGGAACATGTATCCTGGCCTGCTTGGTATTGGCTGCAAATGTCTTCTATAAAATATATATGTGAAAGGCAGTTACAAAGAGAGCAAGAGGATGCATTTCTATCTGCTGGTTGACTCCTCCAAATGGCTACAATGGCCTGGGGTGGCCCAAGCTGAAACCAGGATCCTGGATCTCTACTGGAATCTCCAAAATAACTGTCAGAGTCCCAAGCACATGGGCCATCAGATATCTAAACATTTTATTGTTATCATCATCATTGTTACTATTTGAAAACTAGAGGGACAGACGGACAGATTTTTCTGTAAACTGGCTCACTTCTCAAAACACACACAGTAAACAGGAGCCAGCAACTCAGTCCAGTCCTTCCATATGAGCAGCAGCGACCCAATGACTGGAGCTGACCCTTGCTGCCTCTCAAGGTGTGCAGCAAAAGCAAGAAGGAAAAGGAACAAGGTTCTAGCCCAGGCACCCCAACCGGGGGATCTGGGCATCCCATCTCAACTACTATGCCAAATTCTCATCCTTAAACCTACTCTTAGAAAAAAGACAGCATAACAGAGACCAGGTGGGGTGGTAGGAGAAAGAGATCTGCCATGCACGATTTCACTCCCCAAATGGTCACAACAACTAGGTCTGACCAAGTCAAAACTAAGAGCCAGGAATACCATTCTTGTCCCCCATGTGGGTGGCAGGGATCCATATACTGGGGCCATCTTCCACTGCTTTCCCAGGTGTACTACCAAGAAACTACCAAGAAACAGAGTAACTGGGATTCAAACCGGACACCTGATATGAGATGCTGGGTAAGCAGTGGCTTAAACCTGCACCACAGCACTGGCCCCTCTAAACCTGCTCTTGAAATCACAGTGTTGTGGGCCTGGCATGGTAGCACAATAGCTAAAGTCTTCACCTTGCCCATGCCTAGGACCCTATGTTGGCACATATCCTATAACGGTTCCTATCCCAGCTGCTCCACTTTCCATCCAGTTCCCTGCTTGTGGCCTGGGAAAGCTGTCGAAGACCGCCCAAAGCCTTGGGACTCTGCATCCATGTGGGAGACCCAGAAGAAGCTCCTGGCTACTGGCTTTGGATCAGCTCTGCACCAGCCATTGAGGTCACATGGAGGGGTGAACCAGCAGACAGAAGATCTTTCCCCTCTGTCTCTCCTTTTTTCTTTATATCTGACTTTCCAGTAAAAATGACTAAAAGAAAAAAAAAGAAAGAAAGAAAGAAACCACAACACTGTACAACCTAACATCCCAATTCAGTCGCACAGAATTCTTTAATGACTCCTGTGGTGAACAGAATAGTGGCTCTCCCAGGATGTTCACCCGCTAAGCTCTGGGATATGTGGCTGTTATTCTACATGCTGAATGGACTTGGCCAGTGTGATTAAACGAAGGCTTCTGGGCTGCAGAGGCCAGCCTGGATTAGCTGATGGGCCTGATACAACCATGAGCATCCTGGGAAAGGGGAACAGGTGTGCTAGAGGCAGAGAGGAAGCAGAATTTGGAGCCATGTGACTTGGCTTGGAAGACGAGAGGAAGTCTGGAGTCCAGGAAGATTGGAATAGTGAGATTGGATTCTACCCCCACACCGCCACCCCCAACGCCTCCAGGAAGAACCCAAACTGCCCACATCCTGACTTCAGACAAGCAGGACTGTGGAGCTCCCCAGCTGTAACACATTGGCGTCGTTTGCACATGTGGTGATGTTTTACAACAACCTTAGGAAATGGATTCAACTCTCCCCTGCTTAGTGGGAAATCTGAACTGCCGTGTAGAACATTCAGAGGACTTATGTTTAGTTTTACAACTCCTGCGAGATGAAAATTTATTTTATTTTTAAAGTGGTTTCTTTTTCGTAGGCATAATAAGCTTGTGTATGTATGGAGTGCCAGGTGATACAATGTGCTGTGATAAGTCAGAGTAACCAGTATCTCCATCACCTTGCTCGTCAATCATTTCTTTGTGTTTGGAGCTTTTCCATGTCTCTTCTGGCTCCTTATAAAGCATTGTTGCCACTTATGCTGTAGAACACTAGAATTCATTCCTCCCACAGGACTTAAATAGCTTTTTTTTTTTTCTTTTTTAAGACTTATCGTAATTATTTGAAAGGCAGAGATAAAAAGAATCTTCCAGCTGCTGGTTCACTCCCCCAGTGGCCACAATAGCCAGGACTGGGTCAGGCTGAATCCAGGAGTCTGGAACTCTATCCGGATCTCCCTCATGGTGACAGCAGTCCAAGCCTGTGGGCTGTCATCCACTGACTTCCCAGGCACATTAGCAGGGAGCTGGATCATAAGTAATTGAGCCAGGTCTTCCGCGGAGCTGTGGTATGAGATTTGACATTGCAGCCAGGAGCTTAAACAGCTGCACTATAATGCTAGCCCTGTTCTGCTTTTCATTTTTATTTAGTTATTTAAAGATTTATTTTTACTGGAAAGGCAGATTTACAGAGAGAAGAAGGGACAGAAAGATCTGACTGCTGATCATTCCCCAAGTGGCTACAATGGCTAGAGCTGAGCCCATGCAAAGCCAGGAGCCAGGAGCTTCTTCCAGGTCTCCCACATAGGTACAGGTTCCCAATGCTTTAGGCCATCCTCCACTGCTTTCCCAGGCTACAAGCAGGGAGCTGGATGGGAAGTGGAGCAGCCGGGATTAGAACCAGTGCCCATATGGGATCCCGACGCATTTAAGGTGAGGATTTTGGCCGCTAGGCCAGTGTACCGGCCCATACTTTTCAAATAAATAAATAAATCTTAAAAAAAAAAATCTGGCTTAAAAAAGAAAAGGAAAGGAAATGGCATGTATCAGAACTCTGACATTTCCTCTGCACCTGGCGTGTACAATGTGTCTCAATGGAAAATGGACCCTAGGGAGACGCTTCATGAAGACAGGAGCTGCCAGCCCTTCGGCTCCCTGGCAGCTGACATCCCATCTTCTGTAGATTCCAGTTTCTATCTCAGGGCCATGCTGATGTTGGGTGTTGGTCATGGTGGGCAGAGGTCTTCTCACAGCCTCTTACATTCACATAATTGACTCCCATGACACTGAGTAAGGAATAGGAAACTCCCTAAGAATTAGGAAACTCTGACAAGCCTCCAGATTGCCCAAGGGCTCTCCCATGGACGCATCCTGATCCAGGGTTTCTGTCCAGGAGGAAATTTCTCTGATGTTGTATCTGATGGTTACTCCACCCTTATAAAGGTTCATGCCCATTTATTACATTTACAAAGATTTTCTCCAGCAAGATTCCTCTGATGTTTAATGAGAAGCAAAAAGCAAAGCAAACTCTCGGTAAAGGCTGCTTCAGCACCCAGCCCTGGGCTTTGTGCTCCAAGGGACTTCACCATCTGTAAGGTGTGGAAACTGCCCTCAGGACATTCTCAACCTGCACATTACAGAGCTGCAGGATGGGACGCGTTGGGTCCTTGAATGAAGCCTCACAGTGCAGTGGAGTTCAACAGGGATTCAGAGAACAGACAAAGCTTGATGATGAGATGGAAGCAGGTGGTGTGAAAGATGCTGGGCTTCAGCTGGAAGGGTGGCAGGCTGGAAGAGAGAGGGAGGAGTGATGTCCAGGCTACAAGCTGTTGTTAGAATCCAGGCACTCCTCTGTAGGAGCTCACTGTTGCAGATTCTAGAATGAAGGAGAGAGGGAGAAGGATGTTGGAAAGTAAAGAAGGAAGTCTTTCCCATGTAGGAATTTGCCCATCTATTGGGAAACTCTCACAGGCTTAGGACAGCAACATCTGAAATTTTATTTCTCACCACTGAACTCAAACCGCTTTCACCCCCCTCCCCAGCCCATCTCAAAAGGAAGGCTTATGCGCGCAACGCCCCCCTGTTCCCAACCCCAGCATTCTTGAGCTCCATCTCAGCTGGGCAAACAGGAATGTCACCCCCAGGCCAATAAGCCTTGGGGATAGAAGCACCAGATCAGGAGAAGAGTTGGCTCAGGAGAACATCAGGAGCCCCTGTCCTCAGCCTCCTCTCTCCCCAAAGCCCAGACTCTTTTAAGACACATGCAGGGGAAATGCTGGCATTTGGGACGGTGAGAGTCTTGAGTTCCTTAGCCTGATTTCTCTGTTTGCAGAGGAAGGCAGGGGATGCAGAGGCTAGAACTGGCAGTGCCTCATCTTGGTTACACAGTTGCCAGAACTTTCTGATCACAGCAGGGGTTAAAGCTGGACTCAGCAGCAAGCAACCCAGTGAGGGCTGAGAGCTGCTGTTCACCAGCATGTTTCCAAAGCAAAGGAGTGTGGCCTGTGGTGATCAGTGCAGCCAGCACACATGAAGGGGGTCTCCAACACACAGGATGGTTGCTGTCTTGGCAGGTGGCTGGCACTTGTTTCCTGTCATGGGGCAGAGAAAAGGAGCTGGGAACTGTTATCTTTTTCTGTCCTTCACAATCTTTGTTGTCCAGAGGACTCACTTTTTAAAAACTGTTTATTTTGATTCAAAAGGTAGATGTTACAGAGAGAAGGAGAGACAGAGAGAAAGATCTTCTGTCCACTGGTTCACTCTCCAGTGGGTTGTAGCACCTGGAGCTGAGCTGATCTGAAGCCAGGAACCAGAGGCTTCTTCTGGGTCCCCCAAGCAGGGGCAGGGTCCCGAAGCTTTAGGCCATCCTCTGCTACTTTCTCAGACCATATACAGGGAGCTGGATGGAAAGTGAGGCAACCAGGACATGAACCAGAGCCTGGCACTTGAATACTGGATACTGGCACTTGAAGGTGGAGGATGAACCTATTGAGTCAAGTACCAGTCCTTTACATGGATTTCTTAAACTCTGCATTCTGTCTTCCACATCCCCTACCCCAGATTTATTTTATTTATTCAAAAGATAGAGTGACAGAGACAGGGAGGTCTTCTATCTGCTAATTGACTCACTCAAATGCCTGTAATATCCAGGTCTAGTAGAAATCACTGCCAGGATCCAGACTGCTTGGACCATTTTGTGCTGCTTTCCTTGGGCACATTAGCATGGAGGGGGCTGGAATGGAAGAGGAGTTATCACTTTTATATAGGAGATGATATAGGAGATGGCTATATGCTTAGCCACGCACTGCAATGCCAGCCCGTCCTTGCTTCCTGCATCTCTCCCAGATGACACCAGATTTGAAAGGGAGAGCAAACATCCTGAGGGAGAGGGAGAACAGACCTGGGGGTGGGTGGGCCTGGCAATGAGGACATTTCTGTAGGAATGTGCTTCATTCCATCCTACTCAGTAGGAGCAGTTGGCACTCACTCCTGGATCCTGTACTAATCCCTTCTGGTCCCTTGCTACATTTTTGTGCTTTCCTTTGTGTCTGGCCCTCTTTATTGCATGAGCTCCTCCTGGGCCTGTCATTCTTCCTGGGATGGTCTGTTCTGCAAATGTTTGTTGAATAAACCAACTGAGCATAGAAATGATGCTTGCTCTAGTTCAGGAGAAGACAGTGTCCTGGGAATGAGAAGGATACTGTTGAGTAGCCCTAGGGATGAGAAGTGGGTGTGAGGGCCCTGGGAAGGTAGCTCAGGTTGTCATCTGGTAAGCCACAAGGAGCCACTGCAGGTGCTTCAGGCCGTCAGTAGAAGACAAGCAGGTGGAGGCTTCACCCGTTGCAACTTGTGTCTGATCCGAAGCTGGTGGGACTACAGAGAGCCAGTGCATCTCCGAGGGGCCTCATTGCAATGGCATGGTGACCCTGTGGCTGAGGGTGACTACAGTGCAGATAGGGTGGGGTGGGGTGTTGGGAAGCTGGTGAGAACTGCAATGAGCATTCCTCCTGTGTGTGCCATAGACAATCTGATGGCAGAGGCCACGGAGAGAGGCAGATGCCTTGGGAGGCAGCCCAGGATTCTAGGGGTACATACTGGGGAGACTAGGAGTAACGCTGGAGGGGAATTTTTGTCTTTTTCCCGAGGACAGAGCTTTGAGCACTCAACCTTGCACCCAGGATCCCTGGGAGACACAGATAGTGTGAGAGTTGGGGCAGCCACTGATGGCCTATTTGATGTTTTCTCCCTCCCGACTTCCTAGGCACACCCTCTGTGTTTCTCTATTCCCTTCTAGGCCCACGGGTGCTGCCAAGGACTGCTGCTTCCACTGTGGGGCTGGTGGAATGGGGCTGAGGTTTCAGCCCAGAGCCTATAGGACCACTCCCTTTCCTGCCTTTTGGGCTCACACTGTCAGACTGTGTCCTTGTGTCTTGTAGGATTCCACTCCACTCCTCACCCTGTCATCAGATTGCCATCCACCCTCCCTCCATGCTAGTCTTTCTCCCTTTCACCACTCAACTCAGCAGGCAGGGGCATGTCATCACTGGAAGCTGGCTGTTAGCAAATGTGCACACACACACACACACATACACACACATATGCCTTTCTCTGTCTCTGAGCTGTCGTCTGGCCTGCTGCCCCCAGGCCTGGCCCATCTTTATGAGATCCCAGTTGGAGATGCTGAGACTAGCCACTGAGAGAAAGCATTGGGCATTTCTCACATCCGCAGCATTGCCCTCCCTTAGGGGCATATGGCAGAACCTTCCAGAGAGACGCGAAACCAGCAGCCTGACCTCATGATGCCCGCAGCACCTGGCACACAGGGTACCAGCTCTGCTGTTCTGGCCCCAAACCAGTTCTCTCTTCTCAAGTCCACACCTTCCCTGGCTTCTTTCCAAGCCTCCAAGATGAGCCCAACCAGTGGAGGGAGAGCAAGGCCTCGGGGAAGGGGGAGGGAATGATGAATTGGGGTGGGAGTGAGGATTCTGCTGCAGGACCTTGGACAAATTGTTTCCTGCCTATGTGCCTCAGTTTCTCTGGAAAAATGTCAGCACCTGGTCCCACAAGAGAAACTACCAGTCATGGCGCGTTTTCTTTGGAATCAGGAGCCGTCTGTCCTACCCCACCCCTTACTAGTGGGTGACGCCGGCCGGACCAGGCAGGGTCCTGCAGGATGAAAGCTCGGAGGAGCTGGAGCAGGACTAATAATGATAATCATCAGCTGTGGCGTCTTAACCATCCAGGAATGTGAGGTCCCACGCCCTGTATGCCTCACACCCGGGACACTGCAAGAGGTCCTCTCCCTTCGTTTTATTGCAGCCATTCTCTGCTCTGCCATTCCCAGCCCAACCCATCTGGGTTCCCAAGAACCGCACTTCCAGCTGCCAGCTTGGCTTGTCCACACCACCACCCAGCTTCCATGGGAAGGTTCAGCTCACCCAGACCCACGCCAGCCGCTTGGAAGCATTGTCGTCTGCCTGCCTCTGGCCCCTAGCGCCTTCCTCTCACCTGATTGGAGCTGCTTCTTCGTACAAAGACTAGGAGCTTTGCAGATGTTGATACAAATGGGCATTCATGTTTCAAACACTCCCTTTGGGACCCGTGGCATGTTTTTGTTTCTAACTTCCTTGGATTGGCAAAACTTTGGGAGGCTTTCCACTGATTTCCAAATGGATTACAGAGTCTAGCATGTCCTAACACACCTTTCCAACTCCGTTCCCTATTGGCCCTGCCGGTCATTAGCAGCTACCCCCATTGCTCACCCAGATGCCACATATTTCCCCTGGGGGCTTTTGCTCCTCCCTCTTTGACATATGCTTCCCTCCATCTCCTGCTGGCTAGACCCTCATCCATCACTCATGCTGCTTGAGGATCCTGGTTCTTTATTCTTGAATCTTCTGAAATCCCCCGGACCTTGCTGGGACTGTGGGTATGTGCAAATCTGAACTCACCCCCCTGGATCTTCTGTGTTCTGATGTTGTCTTCATCACTGGTGTCCTTGATGCTTGGGATGTCTCCTGGGAGTAGGCTTGGTCAAGAAGGGTTGTCCAGCAATCATGCAGAGCAATCAGCCCACTTGCTAACTCCCTTGGTCAAATGAACTCTGGAAAGTTAAAATTTGAGCTTTTAAAAAAATATTTACTTTTATTTGAAAGCTAGATTTACAGAGAGGAGACATCCATTTAGATTTACAGAGAGTTCTTCCATCCACAGTTCACTTCCTAAAAGGCCTCAATGACTGGAGCTGAGCCAGTCCAAAGTCAGGTGCCACAGGCTTCTTCCAGGTGTCCCACAGGGGTGCAGGGGCCCAAGGCCTTGGGACATCATCCACTGCTTTCCCAGGCCACAAGCAGGGAGCTGGATTAGAAGCAAAATAGGTGGGCCCAGCAGGGTGGCCTAGCAGCTAAAGTCCTCGCTTTGAACGCACCGGGATCCCATATGGGCTCCAGTTCTAATCCCAACAACCCCACTTCCCATCCAGCTCCCTGCTTGTGGCTTGGGAAAGCAGTCGAGGATGGCACAAAGTGCTGGGACCCTGCACCCACACAGGAAACCCAGAAGAAGATTCTGGCTCCTTGGCTTTGGATCAGCACCCGTCATTGCAGCCACCTGGGGAGTGAACCAAAGGAGAGAAGATCTTTCTGTCTCTCCTTTTTTCTGTAAATTTGACTTTCCAATAAGAAATTTTAAAAATCTTTTAAAAAAATTATTTTAGAGGGAGGGAAGAAGAGAAGAAAAAGAGAATCTTTACTCCCATCGGCTGCTTCACTCCCACAAATGCCCACAATGGCAGGTAACTGGCTCAGGCCAAAGTCATTAGCTGGACTTTGTCCAGCTAGGTCTTCCGCATGGGTAGTAGACACCCAGCTACTTGAGCCATCACCTCTGCTTCCCACGCTTGGTCTTCAGGAAGCTGGAGTCAGGAGCTTTTCAAACCCAGAAACTCCAATAGAGGATATAGGTATCTTTCCTGGCATCTTAATCACTAAGCTTAATGCCCATCGTTAGAATAATAATCTCAATATCCAATCTCAAGGGTGTGTGTTCTTGGCTGGGAAGACAGAAAGCAAAGGCCAAGAAAGCCTCTTGTCTCCACCCCTGCTCCCTTTGTGGGTGGGATGTGGGCACCCAAGTCTCAGAGCAGACAAAGCTCCCTGGCTTTGCTGCCACATGGGATGCCTTCCCCAGCCAGGCACCGACCGGCTCCATCCCAGCCTCTGTCTAGTAGAAGGAAGTTGGGAAGATTTCCACTTCTTCCAAGCTCCAGCAGCCTCTGTGCTCTCCCTTCCCCCGCAACAAGAATTTTCTATACCAGAGAGACCCTGAGAGCCATGTGGTGCTAAGAGATGAGTGGTTGGAGGGGCGCAGAGGCCCCCTGGCTGGACCCCTGTGAGAACTGCTGGCGACACACACACACACACACACACACAAAGCATTCCTGCCTGTCAGTGTGTCCACACACTAACCATGACTTTGGCAACGCCTGGTATTTACTTAATGCTTTTTCTCCAGGGAGCTCAGCTAATCTTTCTCTCATCTCCAGGAGGAAGCAAAGGAGTAAGGCGATGAAAGGCAAGTGAGCCATTGCAGCCACACTCTGGGAAACAGGCAGCCTTTGTTCTGGGAGGTGAACGCCATGCACAGGATTTCAGATGTGGTGAGCAGATAACATAGGGAACCAGCTCAGTCCCCTGGGACCTGTGTGAGCTGAGCACCTGCACACACAGGGGTTCCCTCCCATCGGCAAGAAACTGTGTCCTTCAGATGGACTCAGTGACTTCTATATTGTGCACACTCTCTCCCATCATTAATGTCTCAAGACACAGTATGTATCTGGGGTCAGGTTTGTTTTTAATAAGGGTAGATGTGGGGAGCCACTGTTTGGATACCACTTTCGACAGCAGCATCCCCTATTGGAGCGCTGGTTCTGGTCCTGGCTGCTCTGTTTTCCATGCAGCTCCCTGCTCATGCATCTGGGAGGCAGCAGATGCATGGCCCGAGTACTTGGTCCCATGTCTAGATGGAATTCCAGCCTCTGGGCTTTGGTCTGGCTCAGGCGCAGCCATTGTGGCCATTTGAGGAGTGAACCAGTGAATAAAAGATCTTTGTCTTCTCTCTGTGTTGCTCTGCTTTTCAAATAAACGTAAAATAAATCTGAAAAAGAAAACCCAAGGATGGATGTAGAAGTTCACACATTTCAAATAGTTGCCTCTATAAGTACAAATTTTGGAACCAAAAGGTCTTGGTCATCATCAGGCTGGACCTGAGTAGGGGACCACTGTTGTCATCGAATAATGAGGCTAACAAATAGCCTGTGCACGGGGAAGGGCCAACCATGCCCTTTTCCCATGTGTTAGCCCTCATGGCATTGAAACGATCTTGAGCCTGTAGTTTTAAAAAGCAATTGACTATTTTCATTTGACTTGAACGGTAAAATACAGTTGCCTACAACAGCCAGGGTTGAGCCAAATGGAACTCAGGACCCTGAAACTCAATCTGGGTCTCCCACATGGGTGACAGGAGGGAAGTCAAGTGCTTGAGTGGCCATCTGTTACCTTCATGAGTGCGCATCAAGCAGGAAGCTGAACCAAAAGTGCGAGGAGCTGTGACTGAATTAGGCAGCATCCCACCTACTAAGTCAAATGCTTGGCCAAAATTTGCAATTTTCCATTTTGCAATGGTAAATTGACCTCCAGCTGAAAAACATACTCCATAATGATGTCATTTAATCAGGTAATGCACATAGTGATTGCTCGCAAGTGGGGGGGTCCTGTCAGCCCCTTTAGTGCATGCCCCCATGCAACCCCAAGCTCCCTGGGTGACTCCATGGGCCGCTCAGTGCTTGCCACTCAGTGTCCACCCGTGGGAGGGATTCCAAAGTCCATGTGTAACTTACCTCATCATAGCCATAGTCTGTGAACATTTTGAAGGATACCCGTATGCATGGATTTCAAATCATTTTGCAGTAAAATAAACTTATCTTGTAACTCCACTTTCAATGAATTTTTGAAGCACCTTCATTTATCAAATAATAGGATGGACTGATAGTTGGTGTAGTGGTTAAGACCTTGATTAGGTTACCTGTGTTCTCTATAAGAGTCCCCAGGTTAGAAACCCAGTTCCAGTTTCTGACTAGCTTCCTGCTATTCTCGATTCTGTGGTGGTGCTGCGGGGGGAGGGGTTGGAGGCGCAGCAGTGAAGGTTCAAATGGTTCCATTCCAGCCACTTACTTGCAAGGCCTGCATTGAGTTCACAGAAGTAGGTTTAGCTCCCAGCCAAGGGCTGTGGTGGGCACCTGGGACATGAACTGGTAGATGGGAGTTTTCTATTCCTCTGCTCATTCAATAAACAAATACATCATAAACAAATACATAATTACAGAAACAGAGCTTGCTTGCCTCAGTGTGGAAGGAGCCTTCTACTGGCCTACCTCATCCTGCTGGCTCACCCAGTCAGGGGCACCTGTTCCAACATCCTCCTGGCCATCCCAGTTCCTCCAGATCACCCTTCTGCAACCTTCTCCCCAAAACCACTTCTGCCTTCACTCTCTGCCTCCAGTAAGTGTCCCAATAGATGCCCATCTGTCAGGCCAGAAATCACAGAACTCCCCCGCCCCTTCCTTCCCAATCCATTTTAGCAAGTCCACGTTCTAAGAGCCCGCTCCGCCTTATCTCTTGCTCCCATCACTGGCTTTGCTGGCTTCCTGGCCTCTTGTTCTCTTCCCTCAATACTTCCCCTTCACCTTTCTGCCCAAGAAATCTTTCAAATGCACCCAGCCCCCTGTATCCCCTTGCTGTGGATTCAGCCAGTCATGGATTGATTGAATGGGTTGGGGGTGGGGAGGGAAGAAGAATTCCAGATAGTTCCAAGAGGAAAGCTTACATATGCTGTACATGTTCATTCCAAGCCACATCTGCATTCCCAATCGCATGCTTCTCCTCTGGAGCTGCTACCTTGCACACCATGTTCTCTCTGGCTTGGACCATCTCTTCTTGTCCCAGGCCAGTGCAAGCCCATTCCCCGCCCCCCACGGAAGACAGAGAAAGCTGCTCCATTCTCTAAGTGCCAGCACCTGGGACGAAGCTCTCTTGCTTTCTGCTGAAATGCGATGTCAGTTATTGGTGTCTTTTGCATGAATACCTATACAGGGCCTGGGAGGGAGCTTTGGAGTCTGGCATGGGGCCCACAGGGAGCCTAGGGTGAGGCCAGAAAAGATGGGTGGGGAGCACCTTGAACTTGCCCAACCCCCACTCCTGCCTGCCACCAGACTCCTCTCTCCATGCAGGTGCTCTGTGTGTGGAGAGGCGGGGGCTTTCAGAGCTGGTCTCCTCCCCACTTTCCATCTTTAGATCTCTGAGCACTCCACACTGTACCCTCTCCGCCCTCCTCTTACACATCGCTGGAGATCTCTGCTTCCACCTGCTCCTGGCCTGCCTGGTCCGCCAGCAGCTTCCAGCGTGCTCCCCTCAACTCTCTCCTCCCCATGTAGGGGCGTATCTCAGATTACTTTGTGTCTTATTTGCACCCCAAACATCTACAAAGAGTAGATAACTAGGTGTTTAGGTTTTGGAGCTGGTGTGGTTTTGTAGCTTGGTTTCTGCACCCAAGCTTTCTCATAAAGGAAAACAGGAGCAGCTAAATAGGTAGATAACAGGTTTTTTTTTTTTTTTTTTTTTTTAGCAACCAACAATGACTCATTCTCTAAAGTAACTGATAGAGCAATGGCCTGAGGCGCCTAGTACTCTAATCCAAGCCCCTGAGTCACACCACAAAACTTGCTTTCTGTGTTCCAATCTAATTCCTTTCAAACTGATGCCCTCTGGGTGATGGCTGTGATGCCCACTTGGTCACAAACCCCATGTTCCATGTGGCCTGGCAGCACATGGGAGATGCCGACGGCTTACTTGTCTGCCCCTCTCATCTCTGACCACACCCAGCCACACCTGGCCTTCACACCCCAGTAAACTGTTCACACTCCCTCTTGCTCAGCCACCATCACAGTCCCCGGAGAGGAAAGGCCCTCACCTTTGAGCTGATCCTCCACCCTTTTGAAATTGACCAAATGGCAATACTGACTGGGCACCCCAGGGAAATGGGGATCCCTAGGCAATGGTTCCTGGGCGGAGAGAAAGCAGAAGAAAATCCATCCCTGCTGGCAACACCCTTTCCACACCATAGATACTTGGACAATTGCTTGTCACTCTGAAGAATTTGAGCCAAAAACCAAAAGGAGTCAGACCGCCGCCCCTCCCCTGCCTCTCTAGAGGTACTCAGAACAGTCTTCCCAAGGGTGTCCCTGCTGCCAAGCCAAATTCACACACGCAGATGGAGAGCCCCCTTCTGGCGACGGGACCAGAATTCCTCTAGCACCTCAACCAGGAAGCTGCTTCTGCAGCCAGGCCTGGCCTGCTCCTTCCTCTCCTCCAGTTGACATGGCCGATAGGACCAGCCGCAGCGAGGAGGAAGTGGACTGGCTTCCTGTTTGTTTGTGAATCTCAGAGCAGCACGATGCAGCCGCCTGCACCAGCCTAGCGGGGGAAGCCTGGCTGGAGCCAAGAGCCCAGGGAACTCAGTTTTCAGCCCCAGCAATTCCTCCGGCCACCAGCTGGGAAGCACTAGGGGGGCAACCTAGTTGTAGCTGTGCCAGCTGCCCACGCACTGCCACCTCCCCCTCCCAAGTGTTGTTTGCTGGACACAACCCTGTGGACAGTGGGAAATCAGCTGCAGAGGTGGTGGAGCCCTCTGAAGAAGCAGGCAGTGTATGTGACAGTTTTGTTTGCAACAGTAGCAGGGAACAGATGACAAGACCGTCATACCCTCAAACAAGCAAAAACAGCGTAGTCATCAAAAAGCCTCTCGTGGATCTATCTGAAGGTGCTATGGGAGCGAGGTGTCCACCACATTTTGGTAATGAAGCAGCAAGCGCAGAGGAGCAGGGGACAGCATGGTCCCCTTCCGTGCAAACAATGCCAGCGGCACAGGATGTGTGCCTGTGGGCTTAGAGCAGAGCACCTGCTGCTCAATGCCTGGCTTTTTCTGCAAGGAGACTGAAACAACCTAATAGCCAGTAGGGATTGGGGGAGGGGAACTGTGGGAGCAGTGTCATCATTCATTTTTCTGTACATTATGCATTACCTCGTGATGCACACAGACTTGGAAATCTTGCTATTTCTACAGTGGAGCTCACTCTGTTTTATTCCCCACATTTCTCTGCATCGTTGAAAATGAATTCATCCAGGGGTGGGCATACACTATAGTGGTAGTGTTCCTGCTCGGGACACCCACATTTCATATTGTGTTAAAATGCCATACCAGTTTGTGGCCCGGCAGCCCCACTTCGCCTCCAGCTCCCTGTTTGTAGCCTGAGAAAGCAGTCGAGGACGGCCCAAAGCCTTGGGACCCTGCACCCGTGTGGGAGACCTGGAGGAAGCTGCTGGTTCCTGATCCCTGGCTCCTGGCTTTGGATCGGCTCAGCTTCAGCTGTTGCAGCTGCCTTGAGGAGTGAGCCAGCAGATGGAAGATCTTTCTCTCTGTCTCTTTTTCTCTCTGGAACTCTTCCTTTCCAATAAAAATAAATAAATTTTAAAAACCCAAAAAACAGATGGGCTCAACTCTGGCCAATGCAGCCATTTGAGGAGTGAACTACTGGATGGAAGGTAGCTTTCTCCCTCCATATCTCTCCATAAAAATAAATTAATCTTTTTTTTTTTTTTAAATGAAAAGATCCGTCCACGTAAGTCACCGTGCAGCTGAGCATGTAACCGTGGTGTGGATTTCTGCTGGCAAACGCTCGCGTCCATTCCGGCTTCCTTCCTGCCAATCCCCGTCTCTATATTTTCCTCATTTCATGGCCTCATCACTTAGCTTTTGGTCTGAGCCAAACAACAAGGAACAAAAATGTGCAGAGAAGAGGAGGGGAAAAAATAACAACAACCAACCAGAAGAATATAATGTACTTCAAATACATGTGATTTAATCACCTGTCTCCAGGCCAAGACTCTACAAAAAATGGACCTGCTTCTAGCGGCCCAGAGCGTGTACTCTAGGATTGCCCCCAGGCACACAATAGGTGCTCAATAATGCTTGCTATGGGCCCAGCACAATGGCTAAAGTCCTTGCCCTGAATGCGCCAGGATCCCATATGGGCACCGGTTCTAATCCTGGCTGCCCCACTTCCCATCCAGTTCCCTGCTTGTGGCCTGGGAAAGAAGTCGAGGATGGCCCAAAGCTTTGGGACCCTGTACCTGCATGGGAGACCCAAAAGAGGCTCCTGGCTCCTGGTTTTGGACTGGCTCAGCCCTGGCAGTTGTGGTCACTTGGGGAGTGAATCATCAGACAGAAGATCTTCTCTCTGTCTCTTCTCCTCTTTGTATATCTGACTTTCCAATAAAAATAAATAAATCTTTAAAAAAAAAAAAAAGCTCGTGGCATAAGTGTACAAGTTATCAGGCTGCAGTGCTGAGATACCTGGAGACACAGGCTGCCCTTCTCGGTTCACAAGAGCATCCCCAAGAGACAAACCCTGCCTTCCCCAGGCCTTACCGTCCCATGAGACTGACTTTTGCCTCTCCTTGCAAGTGCTTTGGAAAAGCAGAAGGAACAGAATCAATTTTGTTGTCTGTAATCTTACTTCACAAGTAAGCTCCTCAAGCTGGCCTTTGGAGCCTCCCTGGGTTAGGAAGAGTTAGAGCAGAGCTGAGTGTCTGTCTCCTGCCTGGCAGAGAGATAGGCACACACACCTCTGGCAGGTGGCTGGGGCAGAACAGTTGGTGTAGTCACAGCTCCGGATGCCCAGGAGACTGCGTTACAGGAAGTTGTTTGCAGAGAATCACCCCAACCTGTTTATTTGCCCTCTTAGCCTTCCCTGTTGTGTTTTTCTCAGCATCTTGTCTTCCTGTCACACCGCAGCACCTGCAGTAACTGTCAGGCTGCTGCCATCTGGTGGACAAAATAGGCCACAGCCTCGCCGAGCTCCTGGCCAGAAACAGACCAAAGAGAACTCTGGGAAGGAGCGGAAAGGGACATTGCAAAGTGCTGCAGCTGCGGGCAGCAGAAGTTTGAGCCCAGGTTGGATCCTCCAGGCAGGACCCTGGTAGAGGACTGACAAGCTTGTCTGCGCTGGCTGTGAGCACTGGTCAAGCGCCACGACTACAACGAGGGTGCTCGTAGCCTCAAGGTGTGAAAAGAAAAGGTTTCCTAAGAGTCGGAATCCAAATCCAGGAGCTTCTTCCAGGTCTCCCATAAAGGTGCAGGGTCCCAAGGCTTTGGGCCATCCTTTACTGGCTTTTTAAAAGATTTATTTAATTTTATTAGAAAGCCATATTTACAGAGAGAAGGAGAAACAGATCTTCTGCCTGCTGGCTCACCCAAGTGGTTGCAATGGCCAGAGCTGAACTGATCCAAATTGAGGAGAGAAAACAGAGAAAAAAAGAGAAAGAGAGAGAGCTTTCACTTACTGGTTTACTCCCGAAATGGCTGCAATGGTTGGAGCTGGCCTCATCTAAAACCTGGAACCTTTTCCCGGTCTACCACACCGGTACAGGGTTGGGTCGTCTTGTCCTGCTGTACTGCTTTCCCTGGCCGCAAGCAGTGAGCTGGATGGGAAGTGGAGCAGCTGAGACACAAACTGGTGACCATATGAGATCCCAGCTCTTGCAAGGTGAGGATTAAGCCATTGAGTCATCATGCCAGGCCTGAAATGAATGTTTTTAAAGTGTGCTCATGGCAGGACTGAAGAGGGCAACCTCCAGTGTGTGAGTGCAGGGGGAGGATTTACACCAGATTCCTGTGGGAATGGAGAGAGGTAGAGTGGGAGCAGTACCCTGTGGAGGGGTGGGGGAGACCTTGAATCCTCTGGCACTTATGGCTTTGCCACACACAACCCTCAGGGTACTGGGCAAGCCAGGTACACCCACTGAGAAGGCCAGGCTGAAACATAACCATTTATGAAGCAAGTGAAGAGTGTCCACTGAGGGTCTTCAGTTAGAAGGAGATGAGATCTGCTGGGGCGGGGAAGGCAGAGCCCTGGCCCTTGTCCATCAGGCTAGCAGCTCTGCCCACAGCTACTGGCTAACAGCAAAGGTGCAAGGGAGTCCCTCAGCTGGTGGTGGGAATGGCCCGAGGGAGGGGTGACTGCTCTCCCATATTCCTCTGTTTTTCACAGAAGCCCCACCTGGAAACAACCACAGTGCTCCCCCTCCCCAGCAGTCTGGCGTCCAACCTGCAGACGCCCTAGGAGGAGCTTCCTTGCCTCTCCTGGGTCAGGGTCCATTGTGTTCTCAGCGTGTGCTGCTTCAGACTGGACAAGGGAACCATTCAGGCAGACCAGGGCAGAGGAAGCAAGATGCTCCCTGTTCTATTCCTTCCCTGGCCAGGCCAGGGCCCATGTTTGAGAGGAAGCTCAGAATATTGCAGGCTGCTGATAATCCTAGGCAGAGCGTTTGCAGAAACCTAGAGCCCATGGGGTGGACCTCTGGGGTTAAGGAGTCATTAGCAGCCCTGGAATGTTCCAGAAAGGAGATGACTGCCTGAAACTAGGCTTGGGCCATAGTATCTCTGTAGTAGCCATCAAGAAACTGTCCAGGTTAGACACACACACACACACTACACTAGCTGAGCTGATCTGGAGCCAGGAGCTTCCTCTGAATCTCCCACAGAGGCACAGGTGCCCAAGGACCTGGGACATCCTCTGCTGCTTTCCCAGTCCATCGGCAGGTAGCTGAATCAGAAGTGGAGGAGCTGGGACATGAACCAGTGTCTCTATGGGATGCTGGTACTTGAAAGTGGAAGATAAGCCTGTTGAGTCATTGCGCCGGCCCCAGGAACATTTTAATTATGAGAATCTTAGATCCATCACTCTTCAAACAATGAGGGCTGACATCAAATGGCTATTCTGAAATGTACACCTGTGACAGGGAGGGTGACAGCACAGCCAGCAGAAGGCCTGGACCAACCTGGGGGCTAAAGAAAGCAGCAGCTGCCTAAAGCAGCTCTGGGCTCCCTGCCAGACACCTGGGAGAAGAGACCCAGACTCCCGCCCGGTACAGGAGGCTGAGCTGGGAGAAGAGAGGAGCTCCTGCCCAAAGCAATGAAGAGCAGGGAGAGAGGCGGCTGCAGCATGGCGGTTGGCTAGGAACTTGGGGCTCCCCCTTGTCCTGCTTCACTATTCAAGGTGCTTGTGAGCCCTGGCACTCCCCATCAGCAGCCTTCCAACACAGCTCAAAGCGCCACCTGAAGCCTGGGACGGGGGATGCTCCAGGAGGTGCAGGGCAGGGCAGGGCAGGGCAGGGCAGGGCAGGGCAGGGCAGGGCAGGGTGCGCACCCCTGCTGTGTGCAGCAAAGAGTGAAGGGACCAACCCCTGTCCTGAGGCCTTGCAGGGAACGTGGAATTAGGGCTAGGGAGAACTGGAGCCCCAACTGCACACTGGCTGAGTGTTGGGTCCCCTGATTTCACAGCTGACCGCTGGCCCCACCCTCTGGGGAAGAGAGGGCAGAGTACAACTCCAGGAGCCCCTAACAGCCTTCTAAATATCCCTCTGTGGAGAGGTAGCGAGTGCGGGATTTCAAAGGGCAGAGTTTGGGGCTGGTGTGGTAGCATAGTATGCTAATCCTCTGTTTGCAGCATCTGCATCCCATGGGCACCAGTTTGTGTCCCAGCTGCTTCACTTGTCTGGGAAAGTAGTGAAAGACAGTCTAAGTCCTTGGGTCCCTGCACCTGCATGGGAGACCCATAAGTTCTGGTTGTCAAATTCCAAACTTTCCAGCTCTAGCCAGTTCAGCCATTTTGGGGGTAAATGAGCAGATAGAAGATCTCTCTCGGGTCCAGCTGCGTGGCCTAGTGGCTAATGTCCTCGCCCTGAATGCACCAGAATCCCATATGGGCACCAGTTCTAATCCCAGCAGCTCCACTTCCCATCCAGCTCCCTGCTTGTGGTCTGGGAAAGCAGTTGAGGACGGCCCAAAGTCTTGGGACCCTGCACCCGTATGGGATACCTGGAAGAAGTTCCTGGCTCCTAGCTTTGGACTGGCTCAGCTTCTATCAATGTGGCCACTTAGGGAGTGAACCAGCAGGTGGAAAATCTGGCTTTCCTTCTCTCTGTGATATCTGATCTGCCTTTTCAGTAAGTGAATCTTTAAAACAAAACACTCTTTCCTTGTATCTCTTTCAAATAAAAATTATTTTTGCTTCTGAGGACATGCGGGGGACACACACTGCGGCTTTCCCAACAGTATCTTCTTGCCCTCCCCAGAATCCAAATTGCATGCACTTGTTAAATGCCAAGTCATCTCCAATTCCCAAGTCTGTCAAAGCAAAGCAGGCCAATACAAGCCCAGCCAGGGCACCAGGCTACCTTACATGGAGGAAAATCAAGTTAGCAGACAAGGCTTTGTGACACATGTGTTTGCACCACCCGCTCCCCTTGGGGCATGGGGTCCACTGCTAGCAGGCACACAGGGAAGACTACGGCCTCTACCACCCTGGCCTGGCTCACGCCTGGCTAGGTGTGTCGGCACCTCGCCGTGCTAGAGACCCTGCTCCAATGGCCAGGACACCCCGTTCTGCTTTCATGTCCATGCATACTGAACAAGGCTGGAGTGGGACAGCCTAGGTAGCTGCTGAGAGCGGCTTCCACACGTGTTTCCTTCACAGTGCAAGCTGAGCTCTGAGTGAGAAGCTGGGAGGTAGCACACCCATGTACTTGGCAGGCACACGCAGAGCCAGCAGGATGCAATCCTTCAAGCTGGACTTTCCCACTGGACGTTCTAGGCGGACCGAAGAGGAAGTCTTTGACAGGCCTCTCATCTTGCTCCAGGCCTCTGCTCCACTCTCCAAGTCCACTCCGGTGGTTTCTGGGCCCCGAGGGAACACACACTACCAGGCCCACCCACCTCCGTAGGGGAGTCCCCTGGTCCCCATGCTGTTTGAAACACCTGCTTCTGTGGGCCACAGTTGAAGGGGATCAGTCTTATGGCAAGAGACAGATCACTTCCTCTCCACCCCCTCCCCGCCCGCACCTCTCCAGCTGCGCCTGCGTGGGAACTGCTGGACAAACTCCCTTTCCCTTCTCCACTCCGCGCACCGCTATCCCTCCCACCCACAGAGAACGGCAGGGCTGCGGCCACACATACCCACGCAGACATGTCCTTCCTCAGGCCATCATGCACACTGTCCTGCCTTTCTCCTGCCAATGGACAGTGCCCAGCTGGCGCTCCCACAGGTGCCCGAGTGGAACCTGGAGCCAGTGTGTGTAGGCACTTGGCGGTTCTTGGTGGGGAGGCGGGTACTAGGTCAGCAAATGGGAGAACAAGCAAGAGCTTCACTGGATGAAGTGATTTGAGATCTGATTCTGCTTTATTTCCTCCACTTTAAGCCAATCATGAAATGTCACAGTGATTTCTGGGGTGTGGCAGAAGGCAGGTGCTGAGTGTTCAGAGTGGCCCAAGGGAAATGGATCTCACTGGGGCAGCTGCAGGAGCACAGACTGGCCGGCCGGCAGGTAGGTGATGTTCCGGGAGCGCGAGAGCTGGTATGCGATGTCCTCCGCCGCCTCCAGCTTGCGCAGCTCAATCAGGCCGTCGCCCGCTGAGGCCAGTGAGTTGGCGATCAGCTCGGCCGCCTTGGAGTCACCTTCGGCAGAAATGATGGCCGCCTTCTTCTGTTGCTCGGCCTGGGGGTGGAGGTGGAGGGAAGCTGAGGCGGGTCCTCAGGGTACCCGGGTCAGACTACACCAGCTCCTGCAGCAAGGCCAAGAAGCTGTTCCCACCCCCGGCTCCCACCCAGGCTAACGCACCAGGCACCCACCCACTCCTCTGCCCGTTGCTACGGCTGGTAGCACACTGCCTGGTCTTTTCCAAAGGCCTCATTGGCACCACCACCAGTCTAATCCAACCAGTCCTTTGGAGCCAGGAGGACCCAGGGAGGAAAAGGGTGGCAGACCCCATCCATCCTCAGGCCCCAAGTCAAAACAACTTCCCCCTAAGGCAGTGGCACTGGGCAGAGTGGCAGGTGGCTCTGACTCCCCTGGCAGCCCGACCAGGCACCCACGAATGAGGTCCTCGACTCACTCTACCAGCATCTGCAGAATGACCTCTATCTGCAAAGCGCAACCTTCAGGATGTGAGGGGAAGATCCACCAACCAGCCTGGCTGCAATTGGCACACAAGCCTGAAGCAGTGGGATTCACACAGGTTCTCGGGGGTGCCAGACACCCCCGAGCATGGGACTGGACTTGGGACCGGCTACCAGCACCATCAGAGCAGGTGCCTGCCCTCCCTAGCACCTCACCTCCTGGAGAAGCTCATCGTTCTGTTACCCCTTGATCCCAAGGACCACAGCAGGGGTCAGGGACCAGGGATGCAGGGGGTAGGGAGGAGCGACTGCCCCTTCACCGAGGCTGGGCAGGCCGGGCTGTGCTGCAGACACCTGGGGTCCTGTTCTACTCCCAGACATCTGGACGGATTTAGTGCTCCAGAGAACCCAGCGCTGACAGCACATCCGTCGTGGCGTTTGATCTCACGTCTGCCATCAGCTTTCACTATGCAGCCACGGTTACAAACGACTTCTCAAGTGAAGCCGAAAATACTCCCAGGGAAAGATTTTTTTATTTAGAAGAATGTTTTTTGATCTCTGGGAAGCAAAGGAGAAAAAAAAAAACCCAAAATCCTTCTGTGATTTAGGTACTCTCACTTCACCTGTCCCTGACTCGCCCCAAAGCCTCTGGAACCAATTGCAGGCCCTGGGGTCCCTTCAATCCCCTTCCGATGGTCCTGGAAGGGGAGATGATATTCCAGGCCACCCAGCGACCAGGAGGCCGAGCACGGGAGGCCAGGAGGAGGGGCTGCTGCCATCTGGTTGAACACTCACCTTCTCCACCACGAATCTGGCCCGCTCGGCCTCCTGCTGAGCCACCTGCTTGGCTTCCACAGCTTCTGTGAACTCCTTCCCGAAGGTCAGATGCGTCTAAAGGGAGCGTGAGCAGAAGAGCAGGCGGTGTAATTGCTTCGACAGGGCTGCTGCCGGGAGGCCCGGAGGCCGCTGGCAGGAAGGGGCCGGGGATGGCTCTAACAGCTGGAGGCTCGCCTGAGGCCAGGACACGTTCCAGCCCAGGTGGAGTTTACACCTCAGAAACCTGGGCACATCCTCTGTCACCCTAGGGTGCAGACCTCAGGGAGGAAAATGGCACCTGGACCTTTGTGCCCAAGGACACCCAGATAGCTCCACTCCACTGACCCCCCCCCGAAGATTCTGGGACCCCCCCCCTCCACTGACTAGTGCTCCTTTGATGCCCTGTTCAGAGGCCCAAGGGAGGCCAGAGGGAAAGCCGAGCCCCTGAGAGCGGGGGATGCAGCTGGTTCCCAGGCATCAGGAGCTGCTTATGCGTTCTCCAGCTCACACCTGGCTACAAGAACAGGACAGGAGAAGGTGGGGCTCAAACCCCAGGCCTCCCAGGCAGCGAGGGCTCTGGTGAATGGTTTAAGACACAAGGCAGGGACAGTCACTGGTACATGTGTGTGGAACGGGGGGAGGGCTGACACTCTGCCCTTTTGTAGTCCCATGAAACAGGAGGTCTCTAGAGACAGTGCCCCAAATGGGGACAGGGCCCAGGGCTTGTGACATGTAGACACGAGCCACCAGCCACATCATTCAACTCCAGCCCCACACTGTAGGGTTTAGCAATCAAATTATTTGTTTCATTTCCTGCTCTACCTCCTCCGTCCTCAATCTTTGCTGTTAAGAGAAAAACAGAAGCTGTCTCCAACTTGCCCCGGCCCCTCCTCTGACATTCAGAGTCCTGACTTGCAATCCTGCACTCCTGTTCACCACGTGGGTCAGAGAAAATGACCCTGAGAGGTGACAAGCCAGACACAATTAAGAAACACAGCACCTTGCTAAAGGGCCAACTCCCTGGCAGCTCACAGGGTGCTCTCCCACCTCTAGCCGGCGTTTCCTGTGGTCAGTCCACACATACCCTGGACAGAGCGTATAGTCAGAGTCCAGCAAAACACCAAGCCCGATATTGGGTCTTAACTAGGTGGCTGATGACTGCCTAGGTGCTTGGGTTCACCAGGCATAACCTGGGGAGAGGTGGGGTGAATGGGATGGTGGGGGTGCCTTACAGTGGGAGCCAATGGGGCTGTAGCCTGGCATACGGCCAGCAGGGGGAGCCCATAGACCTTTCAGTCAGTAAGGTCTGTTTACGCCGGTGTGCAGGTGCGGCCTTTCCCTAGCCACCCGCAGAACAGAACAGGAAACAATGCCCCCTAACTCTGACCCCCGACACATCACCCTAACTGAACTCTGCCACAGAGCTCAGAAACACGACCCCAGGCCCTGAAATGCTCATGCCTCCCCTCTCCACTCACACAGCAGGCCCTGGGGAACAGGACCATTCACTGGCACCCTATCACCTTTCACTAGAGTCAGGCCAGCTTGGGAGGTCTGAGTTAGGGGGACCCCACCCTCCCTCCAGCAGGGCCTGAGTCTCCACAGCAGGCAGGTTTTTCCCATGCCCACTAGATTTCACAAGATGCTACTCTTAATTGGAGTGCTTAGCTTAGTGGCTCGGGACCATGTTGTGGCTACTGGGTGTGACAAATGTGCATGCCCTCAGCAGCAGACAGCCCCACAGCCCCGAGTCCCTGTTTCCAAGTCTCCGCTAGGAATGGAAGGAGCACCAAACAGTGCATGCCCAGAAATGAAGAGAGATGCCTGTGTACTCTGCACAGTTCCACCTGCCTCCCTCCCTCAGGAACCCCCCAACCTCTCACCAAGGACACGTCATCCAGGATGAGGCCGAAGGTGGCTGCCCGCTCCGTGAGGTCGTCGCTCACCTGCCTGGAGACCAGCTCTCGCTGCGTGATGAGCTCGCCTGCGTCAAAGCGCGCCTGGTTTGGTGGGGGGAGAAGTGGGGCAGAGGAAGTTCGGTCGGATCAGTGGGAGGGCAGGAGAGGGCCTGGGAGCTGCCAGCCACATGGCGAGCCACCCCACCCCACCGGCTGCCCCGTGCCGTGGTGGGGGGCTGTGCGGAGGCTCAGAGCACTCACCACCACAGACTTGAGGATCTCCGTGGTGATGGATGGCAGCACGCGCTCATCATAGTCCTCGCCGATGCTGGTGAAGATGCGTGGCAGCTGGCTGGCCACGGGCCGGAAGAGGATGCGCAGCGTGATGTTGACGTTCTGTAGATCTGCCAGGGTGGGGGATGACAGACACCGGGGTGAGAGAGCGCCCTGGCGAGCGTGTGACACTGGGATCTCAGGAGGCACCAGGAGGGGACACCCGGAGTCCTCGGCTGAGTCTCCTGCAGTCAGGAGCTTCTTCAAGGGGGAGAATGTCCCACATGTCCCCTGAAGTAATAAGTTACAGGTGACACTCAACGTTTGTCTGAACATGGCATGTTTTAATGCCATGGCCAGCAAGGCTAGGGGGTGGTGTTTTCACAGCCCAGTGCTCATGACGAAGGAACTGGTCCCACAGAGGCCAGTGTGATCCAGCAGAAATAGCAGCCCTGAATTGCCCCCCGACATCGCATGGCAGCTGACTACCACGTGGCCTCGCTGAGCCTTACCAGCTTGAGCCCACTTCCTGGCGGGTGGCAATGGGGACAGTGAAGGCATGTCGTGAGAACAGATATTGGAAGTACAGCACTGCCCAACTCAGCCATGCTCCTTGCCTGCCAGCTTGAGGGATGCTACAGTGTCCATCCGGGTATTCTCTGTGTGCCAGGGGCTCTGGGACGGGGTCTTTGAGGGGAGGCAGGGAAGCTGTGGTCTGGAGCGGCAACAGCCCCAGACCTTCCTCTAGACAACTCGGCTCACCTGTCGCAATCAATGACAGGGTCCTGAACCCAGCACTGGGAAATGAGGGGAAACAGGGACATTTGAGCCCCAGATCTCTGGAGTGATTCCTGTTGCCACCTTGTAGAAATCAGCATACAACGTAGCCTTACAAAATAATTACAGAACAGGATAGCCAGAAGTCCCGATGAGGAAGTGGTGGGGAAGCAGGCTTTCAAGTCCCAGTTTCCACCCTCGCCACCACCCTGGATCTGCCAGAACAACAGCAGACAAGTAAGTGTACCAAGCCAGGACAGGAGAGGCTGGGCAGGCGGGGGCTGCAGAACCCATCTCCCTCATTCCCCTTTTCTCTGCCCCACGCGCCTCCCATCCTCCTAGTCCTGGCATGTGTCATTTCCTGGCAGAGGCCCTCCCGGCACCCATGGGAGTACTTTGCTCTCTTCTGTGCTCCCATACTCCACACGGCCTTGGCCCTGCTCTTCCCCAACACAACTGTAATGGCTTGTTCACATGGCCACCTTCAGAGCTGGACCGAGCCGCCAGAGGCTGTTTTAGTCATCGACTGCCGCCCCCCTCCCCCCCACACCGCAGCACAAGGCCTGGCCCAGGTGCAGGAAGCTAATATCCGCTAGGCCGCTGCACCAAGGACTCCGAAAAAGACCAAGAAGTCCTGCTTCAGCAGGACCCATGCCACTCTGAGGTCCATTTGCCCCAGCACAGGCTGTCTGCACACCTCCACGGCCGGAGGGGGAGGAGTGTGATGGCAGAGTCACGTCTAGCTCTGACTGGAAGCCCAGTGGAGTATCTCAGGCACCTTAAGCCATGGCCTCAGCCCGTGGGACAACTGTGTGGGTGGTAGGGCCAAGGTGTGTGGAGGGGTGGAGCAGGGCCTGACCGCAACTGCACACTTCAGTTCCCCTGGGATTGGCACGCTGGCGTGCTAAGTTAAGCATCGCCTGTAGTGCTTGCATCCCACATGGTGCTGCTTTTTTTGAGTCCTGGCTGCTCCACTTCCCATTCAGCTTCCTGCTTATGACCTGGGAAAGCAGCAGAGGATGGCCAGATCCTTGGGCCCCTATACTCATGGGGGGACTTAGAAGAAGCTCCTGGCTCCTGGTGCTAGACAAGTCCAACTCTTGCTGATGCCATTTGGAGAGTGAAGAAGCAGATAGAAGATCTCGGTCTCGGTAAATTTGCCTTTCACATAAAAATAAATCGACTTAAAAAAAAAAAAAAGCAGATCCTCTTGCGGTTCTCAGGACCTTTGTCTATTTGTTCATGTATGCCCTGCTGGCCATGTATGCAGCCTACACAGGCGTCTCTCTGAGAAACCACACAAAGCTCCCCAGATTTTTTTTTTTTGCTGCCCAGTCCAGTCTCTTACCTTTGCTAGCTCCCAAAGATGCTACTAGGGACCAGCAGAAGTCTGTGGCACCCGCCCCACACACCCGGGCTGTGCTCGCCCACCTTTGCTCCCTGACCCTACACACCCGGGCAGCACTCACCCACCTTTGCTGCCAGTGATGACTGGCACGTTCCGTGGGCGCGAGCGGCAGTCGAAGATGATTGGCTTCTGTACCCACGGGATGAGAAAGTGGGTCCCTTCCCCGACCACCATGTCCTGCACGCCACGGAACCGGTCAAAGATCACGGCCCTGTGCCCGGCATCCACTAGGAAGGAAGGCAGGCAGGTCAGAAAGCTGCTCACTTGTCACTGAAATGATTACTTTTGGTGCTATGTCGCCACATTCCTCAACTTCCCGTCAGCAGAGGGCCTTTCTCCCTCAACACCTCAGCCTTGATTTCCCCAGGCTCTATCCCACCCTAAACTCACATCGCTGCTTATGAGCAACTGCTCCCTGAAATTCCTGAAACCCCTGCAAGGCCCTCACATGACCACATGCCATGCTCCACTCCCACCATGCTCCCCAGGAGCAGCACCGTCACCATGGCATGCATAGAGATTTGGAAGGGTCCCTCCTTCCTCCCAGCGCAGCCTCCATAAAGCTCTGGGCAGGTGCAGAGCCCACCTGCTGCCTCAGAGGGACACCCAGCCACAGCAGCAACTGTGCAGCTGTGGATCACACCATCCTTCCGTGCCAGCTGGCCCTGCTCCTCTGAACATCACCAACCAGAGCCTTCTCTGTGAGCCACACACTGGCCTGGCACTCTGCTGCTGCCCTGCCATGGCGACACACCTGCTCCATCCCATTGCTTGAGCAATGAGACACTGAGGCCCTAGGGAGGGAGAAGCAACCTGCGGAAGGCCACACATCAGCATGAAGACAAGGTGGCATGACCCCCGCCACACTCCTTAGAGATGATCAAGGAAAGGGTGGTGTTTTCTGGGCTAAGACAACAGTGGAGACTCCCAGGTCTCCCACCAGAGCCCAGGGAAGGTACCCGCTCCTGCTCCTAGCCCCAGCCCCCTGGCCTGCAGACCCTGGGAGAGAGCAGATGATGGCGCACGTGGCTGCATCCACATTACCCTCGGGGAGACCTGGTTTGAGTTCCTGCCCTTGGTTTGGCCTGGCCTAGTCCTAGCCATGGAATTCAGGTATTCAGGGAGTGACCAGTGGGAACTCTGCTCTCACTCTCTTTTGAATACATTCTAGAAAGAGGAATACATTCTCTGGAGTCATCCAACCTCAGCAGAGTCACTCAGAGCTCTAGTCTTACATCCGGGGTGCGGCCCCCACATAGGCAGAGGGTGACGTGGGAACTGCCTCGGCTGGCAGGGGCTTCTCGGCAGCCTGAGGCAGCACTGGAGAACACAACTTCACTCCTGTGAAAGTCAGCCCCTGGGGCAGCCAATTAGCTGCAAGAAGGGGTCTGAAACCTTAGGGCTGGAAGCACAGTGGTCCGCCCAGCACCACAGCCACATAGCCCTCTGGGCCTCTCACATAGTCTGGCAGCAGACAGCATCGAGAGAGTCAGGATGTGGGGATGGTGCATTAGCTCAACTAGCTAAGCCTCCACCTTCAAGCCCTGGCATCCTATACAGGCACTTGTTCGTGTCCCAGCTGCTCCACTTCCCACCCAGATTCCTTTTTATGGCCTAGGAAAGTAGTGGAGGATGGCCCAAAGCCTTGGGACCTTACACCCGCATGGGAGACCCGGAAGCAGCTCCAGGCCTCAGATCAGTTCAGCTCTGGCCACTTGGGAAATGAACCAGCAAAAGGGAAATCTTTTTGTCTCTCCTTCTCTCCATAAATCTGCCTTTCCAATAAAAATAAATACATTAGTTTTAAAATGTATATTTTTAAAAAGTATTTATTTTTATTGGAAGATACATACAGGAAGACCTTTGGTCTGCTGGTTCACTCTCCAAGTGGCGTGTTGGCCAAAGCTGACCCAATCCACAGCCAAGAACCAGGAGCTTCTTCTGGTCTCCCACGTTGGTGCAGGGTCCCAAGACTTTGGGCCATCCTCAACTGCTTTCCCAGGCCACAAGCAGGGAGCTGGATGGGAAATAGAGCATCTGAGACACAAAGCAGTGCCCCATATGAGATCCCAAGGGATGCAAGGCAAGGACTTTAGCCACTAGGCTACTATGCCAGGTCCAAAATAAATAAATGTTTTTAAAAAAAGAAAAGCAGGCCATGGAGGCTATGCAGATAGATCCTGGTCTTTTAGTTCCACCCTTGGGGACTCACCGTTATACAAGGCAGAGTTCACTACGCCTCCGGCCACAGCCAAGGCCAGGCCGAACTTGCCAATGGACTCAAACACTTTGGCCGCCATGGTTCTTTCTGTTGGACCCACTCACACCTAAGGGGGTAAAGAGAAAACAAAGTGAGCCGCCACGCTGCAGAAAACCCTCTCTGAGGTCCGACTAGCACTTCTGAATCCCACTCCCCTTTTCCCCACTCCTGTGAGCCCCACATCCCCCGCTGAAAGACGCCATGGGGGCCTCGGGGGTCACGGGCCACGCACTGCTTGCCACCCTGATTTCACCTGCCAGGAGCCTGGGGGCACTGGGCTTCGCGGTGGGAACAGGCAGGGGGGTCTGAGCCTCAGAGGGGCCGGCGCTGTTCTGAATCCCCTCCCATCTCCTGGGCAAACAGGGCGAGCCCCCTTGTCTGCTCCTTTGGTAAAGTGGCTGGTGGTGCAGGCCACAAATGGTCACAGTAACAGCTAATGTTCCTGTCAGGCTGATGATTTCCCTGGGCCATGACTGCATGGATGAGGGAATGGAGACACACCGAGGCCACGCGAGGACCCCCAAAGTCGCCATGGTGCCCCAACACCGCTCCCAACATCACCCAGGCAGGAGAATCTGCTGCTGCTGCTGCAGAAGCAGGAGGCACGGAGCATTCTGGAACCCGGACCACAGCGGGACCAACAGGGCGGAGACTGCCCAGCTGCCCGGCCAGGGACGGCGCCAAGAACGGCGGCGGGGCCTCCCCGGGGCCGCTCCAGGCTCACCTTGCCCAAGCCCCGCCCCAGCGTCGCCCTCGGCTCCGGCCCGCTCGGGACCAGCCGGGTCTCCCGCCCCAAAGGCACTTAACTCTCCCTCCCCAGTCCCGGGCTCCTCACTTCTAACAGCTTCTGGATTATTCCTCACGCTGTCCCGCCCCCCGCCTCCTCCACCACGTACAACCTTCATTACTCTGCACATGCCCGGCTCAGTCTCTGCCCCTCCCTCTGCAAAGCAGACCTATGCACGAACCCCTCTGCAGCAAGGTGCGCGCGGGAAGGCAGGGGAGGGTTACACACACGGCCAGGAATACAGCTCAAACGCTCTCCTGCGCTCTCACCTGTTTCCACTCTGACCTCCACATGAATTCCCCAGCCGTACCTACCGCGCGTGCGCCGGGCCGCTCCGCCTTCTCCCCACCCTCCTTCCAAGATCCGCGCCGCCGATTGGCGAGGAAGCACGCTATGAGTTCTGGGAAGCGTAGTTTATGGCAGCGCATTAGCTCTGCAGTCCTTGGCGAGTGAACTACAATTCCCGAAAGGTCATGCAGTTGCCGGCCCGAGCAGGAAAATCTCCTCTCTTTGGAAAGAATCAAGGAAACATTTTTCCGCAAGGCCTTTTGGGAGTTGTAGTTCCTTGGGAATAAAAGCACGTGCTTGTTCTGTCCTGAGACTGGACGCAAGCCGAAGAGGAATTCGGGGAACCTGGGAGAGGCTGGCGCTACAGGGACGGGCTTATCGCTGATGAGAGAGGATTAGAGTTGTGAAATAAGTGGTAAACTGGAAGATCTCGAGGGAAGCCCAGGGCCAGCTTCTTTGGAGAAACTTGAACAGGCCAAAGAACTGAGGGCGACAGTGGAGGGGAACGGGCCGGGTTAGGCAGCAAGTGAGCAAAGGGACTCGGCTTAGACGCCAAGTATCCTGGACGCAACTGAAAAAAAGAAATTTTATTTGGAAAAGTTGCAAAAAGAGTGTGGAGGAAAGAAGTGTGGTCTTTGTGAAATTCACCCACTGCTGACTGTCCCCTTCCTCTTCCTTTTCCACAGGGAAGGGGGCCCTTTCACCCCTCCCACTCTGGAGGGAATCCTTGTGTTTTCTGAAAAGGACGGTTCTTTCATGTGAGTAAGTATCGTCCACCATCTGCGTTCCAATCAGGTCAGTTGATCTGATAAGGAATTTTCTGGTGCTCCCCTCCCTCTCTTGAAATGTGGTTTTAAAACGAAGTGCTATATTTACTTCTCAATTCTGTGTGGTCTCTTTTAACCTGAAACCTCTCATGAGTTTTCTTTTGTCTTTTATTACAGTCCAAAAAAAACCAAAAAAAGTAGGCTGTTTCTCGTTTGAGGCTTGCCTGATGGTTCCTTGTGATTGGATTTAGGTTCTGTGCTGTTAGCACATGATGTGTGGATGTTCAGAGGCCTTAAGCTTCTTTTCCTGTATTTCTCTTCTCTGTGTCTGCTTTAATTGTCCCCAATTGGCACAATCTGCCAGAAGTATCCATGGCTGTATTGTTTGGGTGGAAGGAATTTCCCCTAACCAACCACAAGAGTCTGGGGGCTAGACATTTTATGCAATGTCTTCACTGATCCATTCTCCATGTATGGAGCAGCCTTGGGCACACTGCAGGTGCCCAGGAGGCATTGCATGGGTCAGTGATGAAGGATGTTGAGAGGGGCTTGCTGTGGCCAGAAAACATGGCATGGGCTTTCCCTAGGATTCTGCCAGAATAGCCTCCGAATTATTCGTCTCAAATTCAAGGTCAGTGTCATAGAGACTGAAGATATTAACAGTAAACCATTTCTGTGTTATGCTGTGTACTTTTCAAATCTGTAATTTTGCTTTTCAGTTGCAGACAGAAGTCTTATTGGCAAAGTGAACAGGAGAGCGTGGAGGCAAGAGAGACACAGAAAGCACCTCCTGGGAGAGGGCCCAGGAGATGGGGCACCCCCTTTGAGGGAGGGAGAGACACCCTCAAATCTGTATGTCACATACAATCCACTCTTCTGTTTTTGGGGGATGAACATGTTGTGGTTCAGAGGTTATGTGGCTTGCTCATAGTAACTCCCTCACAGGGCGCCTGGACTTGAACCCAGGACTGAAATATGGGCTAATGAAACAGCTGAGATATAGCAGCTCCATCTGATACCGTGGCCCGCAGTTCACTCAGCAGTGGGAGGGAATGGGCGTGATCTGCGTCTTGGTACAAGCTTCCTCCCTTCCCAAGAGCAGTGCCAATGTGGTTGGGGTAGTAAATTAAGTAAAATATTGAAGCCCTGCCTACGAGGTCCCACACATCCCAGACACTGGGCAGATGGTGGTGAAGCAGACACTGAGTGAGAGCCAAACCACCGGCTCCGTGCTCTCCAGACCTTAGCAATGGCCAGGGGCTGGAAGGCGGGACAAGGGCATGTCACGTTTCAGGATCCCCTTCTTAAAATGAAGTAAAAAGTCCCCAAAGAACCAGCTGGATGTTTCCATCTATGGTCTGAACCAGATGCGGCTCCTGACCCCAAAGTCACGAGTTGATGATACCAAGTGTGTGGGTACTTCACCTGAATGTGTTGGGAACAGGTGCCTAGTCTGAGGATCTCAGGGCACCTGGTGTAGTTTTCTCCAGAGGGTTATTCTAAAAGCCTGACAGGCTCAACTACCCTCTCTGCTTCCCTGGATCACCATAAAGCCCTCCCCCAACCCCTGCTACACCCCTGCCGTTCTTGATCCCCTCACCAGATGCCACGTCCACAGGCCATCTCATCTCAACCTGACTCTCCAAAGCTGTGGGCTACGTAAGTCTTGTCTCTTTATAAAGTTAGTTGCCTTAGGTATCTCATTGAGTAGCCAAAAGCTAACTCTGCCATCCCCTCCTGACTCACTGTACCTCAGTGAATCAAGCAGCTGCTGGGGCAGGGAAGGTCCTGAGATGGTGGCCTGAATGTCTCAGCGAGTGCAGGCAGGGGTTCTTGTTAGCCAGGAGAATGGGCGGTAAGGTTGAAACCAGCAGGGTCTGCTGCAAGAGTTTGTTTTGGACACACTGGTCTGTAAGGAGACAGTAGAGGAGGAGGATCTAAAGGGTTGGAAGGGGTTGGATGGGATGAAATGGGCATTTGAGCAAAAGGAGCAGCATGTGAATGTGGCGAAGCAGGCCTGGCAGCTGTGGCTGGGCAGGGGCCAGCAAGCCCCTCCTGGAGTCAGGCGGGTTACTGCTCACAAGGGCATGAAGGGACGAACAGGGCAATGCAGGCGGTGTGACAGCAAGAGAGCCCTCTCGCAGCAACTTTACACGGACACAAAGGGGCGACCGTCTGCAGCACAGATGATGAGACACACTGTGGCAAGGGGACCCAGGACACGTGGCCACTCAGTAGTGTGGCAGTTCCCAGCGGTGACCAGGGAGGCAATGAGAAAGGGTCATCTGACAGCTTTCCTGGTGGACAGGGCAAGGTCGCCTGGCCATCGTGGGGATGACATTTCTTCCATAGAGCAAAGCAGCGCAGTCGGCAGGCATTTCTGGGCCTCACTCAGTCTGCTGTGTTATTGTGGGTCATGTAGCCTCTGGACAAACTCTGGTGTCCACTCAGGAGAGAGAGTGGTATGACCATGGAACTGCTTTTGACTTGTATGTGCCTCAAAAAGGCACTGAAGGCCTGGCACAATGGCTTAGTGGCTAAATCCTAAACCCTCACCATGCATCCACTGGGATCACATCCATGTCATTGCCAGTTCGTGTCCTGGATGCTCCACTTCCCATCTAGCTCCCTGCCTGTGGCCTGGGAAAGCAGTAGAGGACAGCCCAAAGCCTTGGGACCCTGCACCCGTGTGGGAAACCCAGAAGCCTCTGGCTCCTGGCTGTGGATCAACTCAGCTCTGGCTGTTGTGGCCACTTGGGGGGGGTTGGTGAGGCAGTTTACAGATCTTTATCTCTCCTTCTCTCTGTATATATCTGCCTTTCCAATAAAAATAAATAAATCTTTTTTTTAAAGGCACTGAGTGAATTATTGAAATCATTACAAACTGATGGAGATTAAAAATTCAAGACAGAATTGAAAATTCAGGGCATGTGCTGTCACAAAGCATGTTAAAGTATTGCCTGCCAGAATCCTGTCTGAACAACAATCTGAGTCCCAGCTGCTCCAGCTGCTCCAGTTCCCATCCAGTTCCCATATTATGTGCCTGGGAAAAACAGCAGAAGCTGCCCTAACTGCTTGGACCCGTGCATCCACATGCGTGGACTAGTGAGCGCCTGGCCATTGAGGTCATTTGAGGAGTGAATCAGTGGATGGAAGCTCTCTCTGTAACTGCCTCTCATGTAAATATTTTTTTTTTAAAGGAAGGACTCCTGATCAGAGGGCGTCCAGGAACTGGAAGCTAAAAGGGCAGGAGACAGGGTCAGGAAGCCGGTTTGGATCCCAGCCGTTTCATGGGGAACTTAGCTTCTGAGCCAAAGATTAGGTGGTCCTGAGGCAGGAAGGGGAGGAGGGCGACTGTGCGGCAGGTCCCCAGCCACTGCTGCAGAGGTGCCACAGAGGCTGCAGCAAGTCACAGGTGTCGTGGGCAGCGTGGCAGCCACCGGTGGCTGCCACTCCCAGGGGCCCTGGAGGAGGTTGGTCCTGATTGGGGGCGAGTGGCGCAGTTTGCCACTGAGGCTCTGACTTCTGGTGACCAGGGAGAAAAAGAAGGGAGTGAGGCAGGAGCGATAGGGTGGGGGGTCTCCAGGGGTGAGGAGATGCCTCCCTCCCTGGGCGGCCTGGCTGTCCCCTGCCAGGGCTGTTGACAACTCACCTCTGTCTGCCACTTACTCTTGCTTACTGGGGCAGAATCTGCAAGTGCCTTGTATCCCTCTCCCAACTTGCACCCCCCCCCCAGCCCTGAGGTCTCCTGTGGCTCAGCCTCGATGTCCACACTCCAGGAGCAAGGACTCTGTTGACTTATCTTACTGTTTGGGGCTCATGCTGAGGCTGTGCTATGCACTGCAGATACTCCTGAGTCAGGCCAGGATGAGGGGCAGGGGACAGGCAGCATGAGCTGGCCTAGTAGAGCAGTGGCACTCACACACCATGGTTAACATTGAGATGACTCCTGACACCCTCCCTTCCTGGTAGTCATGGGTATCTTTCTTAAAAGTTTTTTTTTTTTTTTTTTTTTTTTTTTAAGGGAGCCAGCACAATGGCTCAGCGAACTAATTCGCCAGCTACAAATGCTGGCACCCCATATCGGCATCCTGGCTGTTCCACAGCCGATCCAGTTTCTGGCTAATGACCCAGGAAAGCAGTAGAGGATGGCTCAAGTCCTTGGGCCTCTACACCCACGTGGTAGACCCAGAGAAAGCTCCTGGCTTCGGATTGGCTCAGCTTTGACCATTGTGGCCATTTGGGGAGTGAATTAGCAGGTGGAAGATCA